ATTTTTTGTTTTTTGCTTTTTTTTTTGTTTGTTATACTAGAATTTATAAAACATTCGTCAAAAACGAACATTTATAATTGGTAGTGTGGTTACATTGGTCTAAGAGACTGTTTGTTAAATGTTCGAGTTAGGGTTGGATATTCGAACCTTGATGGGGTATGGGTAGTTCAATGTACAGTCTATCTTGTAACTGAAGTATCTAGCATATCATGTCTAATATATATATATATATATGTATGTTTGTTTGTGCATGTTTTATTAATCATTTATATGGTTTTAAACCAATGTGATTTATCATTATCTATACATACATTCTACAAATCCTTTTCTACTTTGATGTAAGTTTATATCTTCTATTTGAATTTCAAATCATTTCTTTTTTTCTGAAGTTCAATTTTTTGTTTCAACAATTATTAGCTTTAATAATTTGACTTTTTTTTTATCTGGTTTATTGATTCATGAGCTAATACTATGTTATATAAAAGATAACTTTTTATATTAGAACTAATCTATTTTATCCCAAAAAAATAGTTTTTGTTCACATTTCTTCTAGTTTTACATACATAATTTAAATTAAAGTATTAAAAAGTAATAGATCTGTAATTTGTACTAAAATTTCCTCTTTCATTTTAAGTATAAGTAATATTAATCCTCTTCTAATAACCTTGTAAAAAACTCCATTTGTAAGAAAGTGTTAAATGATTATTATCATTTTTAATAATTTTCTAATAAGACTTGAATATATATATATATATATATATATTTCATTTGGACAAAATGTTTTGTTATTGAATAAACTTTTATAAGGATTTGTGTTATTTTTCTATTATAAAAGTCATCTTTAATAGGAATTTCAAATATGGCACTTTTGTAAAACCAAATAACTAGGATTTAGCACTTGATATTTCCAAAATTATTCAAAATATCAAATCCAAAATATCATTGTTCAAACTTTATTACCCTCTAATATTACCCCTTGATATGAAGTCTTAGAGGGAAGAGAGTTGAGACAAGCAATGCAGTTTTTGATATTTGACCCCATCAACTTTTGATATTTTGATTTCAAAATCAAACACCTTGCGAGATGGGTGATTTAGTGAAGTATTAAGTGATGTTGCAAAATATCATGAGAAACTTTGAGCTTGAATCATAAATGAAATTTCACCTAAGAAGACCATATTGAAATCTCCTAATGAAAATTAATTTTCTTTGCTAAATTTCTAAAGATATATATGATTGATTATGTCTAAAGAAATTTTCTTTGTATGAATTATTTTTTGTTTGTTCATATTATTAAAAAAAAAAAAATCTTAAAAAATATTGACAAATTTATGAACATCACTAGTACTTTTATTATTTATTGCTATTTAAACAAGCAATCATATTTTGGTTTCTTATTATTTTCAATTGCTTAAAATATTTCTTTAAAACACATGCCTATTTGCATAGTCTATCTAATTATTGTCCTTATTCTTTGATCATCTCTTTTACATGGTCCATATTAAAAATGTTGTAACAAAACTACTTCTATATTTGACCACATTGTTTAATACTATTTAATGGATTGTAATCTACGAGGTAGAATTTGGAGCAAAATATCTTTTTGGATATAGACTTTCAAATTCATAAAATGATTCATGTCGAAATGATAAATATGATCCTTAATTCATTAGAGGTGTATACTTCAAATCCTTGTACTAACAAAACCTTCACATCCTTTCTACGTCTGTGATGAAACACATGTGCTACATCATTCTAAAACGATGTATCGTCACTTACACTAAAATCAACACAAAAAACACAGTAAACCCACATAAATTCGTAATTTGGATGGACATCTGCGAAAGACATTCATCCTCCGAGCTCGTAGTGAAGCAGCAGTTTCTCAATGGTAAGTGAAGAAGAAGTTGCAGTGAATTTTGCAGTAACCCAGTGGCCAGTTCAGAAGATGAAAACGGTGGCAAAGGGAGAGCGGCACTGGCAGAGGAAGGAGGGCTACACTTGGCCCAGGTATTCAGAGACTATGAGCTGAAATTAGCATCAGCTTGTGGCACTTTAAAACTCATCAAACAAACAATTTTCCACACGGTGACGCAACCGAATTGGGTGCGTTACAAGCACATTCAACAACAACAGCAACGATAACATTACACACTTCACGGCCAACGACACCACGACAACAACAACAATTCTGCAGCTTTCGCCATCTCCACCGCATCTGACCCCATTCTTTCAGATCCATCCCATCCATCCCTGCAGCCCACTGGTAATGTCCGCCGTGTGAAGGCAACCGCAACTACCCTCTTTGATTGCTTGATTGAAACACTTATTAAACTCGAGAGTGTGTGAGTGTGTGTGTGAACGTGTGTGTGAGTGAGAGCAGTTTGGTTTGTCCGATCTACAATAATTTACGCACGGTGCGGATTGCCGTATTTCCTAGACACTGTATCGTGTTGTTCCTATCTTCCACGAAACCTGCATTGTCACGGGGCCAATGGAATTGCGGGTGTGGAGACAAACTTCGCGGGGAGCCAATCGTTGTCGTGACACGCTGTCTTCTGGTGCAGCATTTCCCCGAACAGGTATACGGCATATTCTAGGATACCAACACATGGAAGATAGAGGGCATAAAAAAACAAAAAAAGAACATGTAGTATGAGGGGTTCGGTGTGTCCCCTGGTTGCTTTTCAGGTCAGATGGTAGGCTAGACTATTTCAGTTTTGCTTCCACGAGTGGGACCCAGTTGTGTGTGTGGCACAGATCTGGCACAAATTCGTGGAGATGGGGAAATGAGAGAGAGTGAGTGACAGGCTTTTTGACGATGGATTTGCAGGCCTGGTCAAGCGAGGCGCTGGTTGAATTCTAGTCTTTGACGTAGAGAAGTCCTGTGTGGAAATATTTTTACCGGGTGAGTGGGACTTTAGGTGGGAACCGCATTTCGTTTAGCCCCTTTGAAGTCGTAGCGGTTACCACCTCAACAACCTTTGATGAAAAAAATCAATCATTTGTGGGAGATTCAAACACGTGCCCATATTGGGCAGGACGACTTCATGCCACCATCTTTCATTCTTATTGATAATATCTCTCTGTTGGCATTGAGTTTGCCCATGACTTATACTATCTTCAATCCGCGTAACAGACTTATCACATTATTCACCTCAGTTTCCCACGTGTGCGCAAGCAGTAGGCTTGGAGCTAACGAGATGGTGTATAACACGCTAAAGTATGAAGAATTACTCCTGCTGTTCGAACAAGTGTTTATCACGTCTTTACTCAAAGCACATATTATTATTATTATTATTATTTTTTTTAATATTTGTGGTTGATAATTGCCTTTTGAAGCATATGCTTATGATACGAAAATGATAGTAGAAGTGGAAGACTAGTGTTTTTTTTTGGAGTGCACAGCTAGGTTTAGCACACCAACGGTCTTTTCCTTCACCGGGTGGGGGTGAGGTCGAGTTTTCAAGCATGTTTTTTCTCTAAAATTGGGTAAAGAGATAATTGGGTGCTCATGAAAGCTTCCAGAATGTTGTCGCTCTTCCAAGCAACTCGGGCTGTTTCCAAAGCATCTGGAATCTGCGGTCTTATTTTAAAAGAGATATAAGCACCTAGGTTCCTCGATGATAATCTCCATGGTTATTTGTGCATTTCAAACGATCCAAAATAATCTAATTCTTTAATGTTCGAAGAAACATTTCTCTATTTCCTTTACTTGGACATGGAGTCCAGTTGGCTTGTGAGACATCGGCAACCCGCCCAGCGCGTTTCCGATGCTAAAGATGCTACAAGATATGGTGCGCATGACGAGGGGGACTTGAATAGCAAGTCTCTCTCTCGCACTGGTCCTACGATGCCACCAACACCTATCCGGTCACGGTGGGGAATACAAATCATGTTCAGTATACTTCTATGAGCGCCAAGGGGTGAGAATGCTATCTGGACTATTGACTTGATCGGAAACGGAAAGCCATTCTTCCTCCCATTCTCCGGAGAAAAATCAACTGGGCTGGGCTCAAGTTGGAAGTCCTTTCCACGCCCTAGAAGGTGGAATTTTCCACGAAATGAAAACTGTTGAATTCCCCTCGTGACTCCAGCGATCAGATTGAATAGAAAGCATATAACTCGTCGATGAGTGTGACTTGAACCAAGCGACAGATTCCACTGGGCTCAAAAAGAGTTATGTACAGCGAAAAGCAACAGAACTTTTGTACCTTTTCTTCTCTTTCTGTTATTTTATATTATACATATATTTTGCAGGGGTAACACTTAATTGTCCCGACGTAATCTCGGTGGTATTGTACCCCACAACATAAAATATTCACAGTAAACCTTAGATGCAGGTTATAGATTAGACTCGCCAATCGGCATTCGTCTGTACTAGTCTCTTTTGAGTATTCTTATAATGTCCAGAGTTTGCTCTTCTCTATCTGTTCATACGATCGAATTGGTCAACCACGATTAAAACTTCATGAAGTGCAATCTCACGTTCAACGAGTTATAAACTTGCACAAACTAATATTGAATATCGGTACCTTGTTGTTCAAGTATTTCATTATACAAGCAATCTTTAAATGCTGTCGGATTAGGGATATGCTGCGGTCAACAATTGTTTATAATTACCACCAGACGAAAGTATATATTCAAGTTGAGACTTCTAATCAACATGTGATGGTAAAAACCTAAATACCATGGATACCCTCAAACGGGCAAGCATCGATTTCATTTGTTACTTCCACATACCCGGCAGAGGATTGACTTGACATGTTTGCAGATGCTACTTCCTTCTGTTTAGGATTATTATAGGCAAGAAAAGCTGGATTAGTAGAAATCTGCGTCAGAGCATATACTATAAAGAAATCGGAATTACCACTCACTGACCCCAAGTAGAAAGCAATAGGAGCATCTGGACAAACGATTAAATCTTCATGAAGTACAATCTCACATTCGGACGATTTTGAACAGCAGCTATCAATTTCAACAGATTGAACAGAACAAAGTTCATTACAACAATACAAACAGCCCACATGCATAGTCGTGTCTCAATTTCAACGTGTACGAGGTGAGATATGTTACAATGAATTCCAGTAAAAGCAGCGCAATCTAGTGCGGCACATTGTCATTTGCAGGGTCTGACGCAGGTGGGCAGCGATTTGATCAGTTCTCTGATTTCCTCCGTGAAACTCTCTGCGAAAAAACAGGAGATTCTTGGAATGAGGGGTATTAATGAGTTCACGAGTCTTGATATTAAGGTTCATTACAGCTCCCACTTGTTTCTGAGCTCACATGGGTCACTTCAAAAATTTAGACACTCGACTTGAATGGGCTTTTTAAGCTTTACCAGCACTCCTCTTAGGAACGAACCCATAGAAGAACTCTTCTTAGAATAATGTCACGTGGCGAAACGAAGGCATTTTTTTTGCTCATCTTAATAAGTTGTAATTTTTAAACAACTCTTTTAGCTCAAGATATTCATCACGATTAGGGTTCTTTGTTATCCCCGCGAGCCTTTTCATATACTCTAAGTATGCATCGTCTTGCTGGCTGGCAAGATCTTCTTCTCGTTGTTTCTGTGCCTGCACAGCCATTTCTCCCATGTTTATCTGGATTGAAATCTTATAAATATAATTTACTTGAAACAGCCCATGTCCATCAATTCAAAATAAATGGTTTGGGTTGTTGGTAAAACAGTGCCCACCGAAATTGAGCTAGACGAAGGCTACAACATAAATGATATGCTCACCTGAAGTAGACAAGACGCTTCTAAATCGTGCCTCTCAAATTTACGACGCTTTGCGAAGGCGAAGGTAGCATCATCGTCATCCTTGTTCACGAACCTTAAAACACACTTATTGATTCTGAAAGGATGGTCCATAAGCATAGCTTCCTTGACAAAATGGCACCGAGCAGATCTCGGTAAGCCACCAATCATAAACAAGGAGTCTCCCATAACATTTTTCAGAACCTTTGCCTGCGTCAGGTTGGCCACTGCTACTATCGCTAACCTGTACGATTTTAAACCAAGTTCATTACATCAGGGCTAACAGATTCCACTTCAAAATATATATATATATATATATATATATATATATATATATATATGAAATGATAACACATGTTAACTTACTAATTCTTACATAGTGGGCACTTAGTAAACAATAAAGTGTCTTCCTATAAGGGTAACAAAGTAAAGAAGAAAACATTTACAGTTTTTAGTCAATTAAAATTTAAATGTGTTCGCATACCCAGATTGTTGAGTTTGGGTAAGTGGAGACTTCAAAAGTTTGACAGCCTCTACATCCACAAACTGATCCAATGCAGCTACAAGAACATTTGCAGTCACAGCCGGTGATACTGAATCGATGAACAAACATCTTGGAACAAGCCCATCAAGATAAGATTTCTTTTCCGAATCTGGAGCATCATCCGGGGGGTAATATTTTGTCTTTCCACTGGTCCAGTCCCACCACGATTCAGCACTAGGCTTCGCGTTCTCTTTGCTCTTCACATCCTCAGTGGCCTTCACGTCCTCTATGGCCTTCCCATCCCCTCTGATCTTCACGTCATCTATGCCCTTCACATCCTCTCTTGCTTTCACGCCCTCTTCCTCTTTAATCTCGTGCAATTTGGTCTTAACATCCTCGGTGTCCATCCTGGTAACTGACTCCATCAACTACTTCCCTTTTAATACAAGTTAGACATTCAGCTAATCAATATAAACTAGAAAACTTTAAAAAAAATGTAAAATAGGAGATTTCGAGAGTGGCAGAATTACCATTTCCAGAAGACTATGTAACATGAAGATGAGAGTAGATCGCGATACTAAGGTGGGATTGGGGACAAATCTTACACGAAAGAGAAAACTGAGGAACAAAAGAATGAATTGAAACCCTGTTTTTACACTTCATTACTTAATCCACATCCAACGATTTGGGAGATTTTTGTACAGAGAGTAAGGATATTTTTACAAAATCGTAAGTACCTTGAAATTGTTTAACATACGCTAACGAATTTCCTGATCCAGATACCACCCGAAAAGGACAATCTGTGTGTTGTCAACGATCCTCATAAGCTAAGGCATCTGTATAAAAACATTGAATGAATTTGTAAAAAGCTTGGTATCGCAAAATTTGTATCGCAAAATTTGTATCGCAAAATTTGGTTAAAGATCAAAGGTCCCCTCCTACAAACTATGACGGGTAGAAAGATGCTGGGGGAATCACGTCTCAGTTGTAATGCCGCAAGTTTACAGGTGTACCTATTGCAGAGTAAGTGCTCCCCCCGGAAAGGCTTAAAGCACACAGACCTCCACATATGAAATAACTGAAGAGGAAGTTGAGATGTCGTTGTGACACATGCGGTACCTCACTAAAACGCTCAAGAAAAGCACAAACAAGAATACACAAGTTCAACGATGCGAACATGCTTTTCTCTAATTTAATCATGAGATATTAATTGTCTAATATGCATACTTCTTAATTACTTTTTAGGGTTAGTTTACCCCAGAAATAAAAATCTTCGTACTTTGCCAGTAACGCACTTTCTCTTGTCTAATGATAAACAAAATTATCTAACTATAAAAAAAATTCTCTCGACAAAATTACTCTCTGTCGAACATCCTATGACATTGACCAAAGCTACTTACCAATAATTAATTTTAATTTCAACAACTCTTCGGCGATAAAATTTTACATGTTTCTAATCGATGAGTTGTACATAGATGTAAGTTTCTGAAGCGATTCCTGAAGCGTTCTGACTCTCTACTGAGACATTTACATGGAGCAAAGCATTCTGTAGCAAACATTTCCAAGTTCCATTTTATATTGCTATTCGAGAGAAGGTGCTCCAAAAGAACGATAAGATAGAGCCTTCCAGAAACTACCTGAGAATTATTAGACTATGATTTGACTGAAGTAATTTCTTAAGCCCATCAAAACAGACATCTCACGATAAGACTGTATACTTCACATGCTAAGCGATCAACACTTGTAAGCATCACTCATGACAATCACAAGATCAATTTCCTTCCTAGACGAGTAACAGAGTCCTAGGAATTTGTGTTGGTGAAAATGAACGTAATTCAGAATTGAAAACATACCACGTTGTACAGACATTTCCATTTCTGTAGAAATAAAGGTACATAAACCCTGGTATTCGGAACTACTTCAATACTCAAAGCTTCAGAATCGTGACAAACCAACCCTTCATCCCACGAGGGAGAAGAAACTTACCTCTTCTCCCGCCGTATTGGTTCCTCTCCTCTCCTCTCCTAATCCGTTAAGCCATTGCTCCTTGCAACTCTACCAATTACGCCTTGCAGAAACATAACGATTGGTGACTCGCATCGTAATTTGTCCTCGTCACAGAAAGGCTTCAGCAATGCGGCTCGCAACAGCCCGAAACCGCTCTAAATCGAAATGCTTCAACCTAAATTAACTTGACATAACGCCTCAGAACCGAATCCCGGAGCTACACCTCTGAAAGAAACCGCCGAAAAGGGTGAAAAGCGCACACTCGGTGCAGCCCTAGCTCCCATAAAATGAAGCGAAAACACTGACGACGCTGAATGACACTGAAGGCAAAATGAGTTCAAACCGCCGGAGCACATGCAATGGATGGATGCGACTTTGTGGATGAAATCAAGATTGGACAGATTCTATCATTCGTCCTTGTGCTAAAGAATAAGCCAGAAATTTCAGCTCGGTCGAAAGCCAGTTTTTGTTTGTTTAGAACAGGATTATGAATTTATATACAAGATGATGATTAAAGTTTAACTAATTTTATATTTTTATAAATAACTTGTGAATATTTTTTTAAAATTTATGTAATTTAAAAAAAAACTTATTTAAATATCTAAAAGACAAAGTTAACTTGCAGTTATTTAATATGTTTAATGTTTAGAATTTTTACTTTTAATTTTTACCCACTCTGCTTAGATGTACATATTTCATTAAATTTGTGTTTTTATTAGAAATTTAGAAGCATTTTCAAATTATAAATTAATTCAAAGTTTTTCAATGATAAAATTTTCTATAAAACTAATGCATTTTGCATTTTTAAAATAATAATAATAATATTTTAAATTATTTTATAATAATTAATTTTATAAAAATTAAGATATATTCTAAATAAATATTTAAAAATAAATTATTGAATGTTTTACATCATTAATATTGTTGTCATATAAATATTTTTATTGTGTATTTTTTTCAATTTTTAAAAAGAGTGTGTAATTTAAAGTGGTAAGTGAAACTATGAAAAAGAAATAATATTTTTGAACTTTTGTGTGATATGAATTAGTTATAGAAAGTGTGTTTGTAATTTGAATGATTTTCTAAAAAGGTGTTCAAATAAACCAACTCATATATATATATATATATATATATATATATAAATGGTTAAAAAATAATAATTTAGAAGTAGTAGTGTAAAAATATTCTTAAAAGAATATTAATTTTTAAGTTACTAAGATATCAACTTCAAAGATATTGTCATGTTATTTTAAAAAAAAATAGGATGATGTTTAGAATATCAATAGAAGTTGTGAAAAAAATTGAAGTCAACAAGATTATTGAGTTGACCACAATTTTGTACAACTTGATATTAGAAAAGATATTTAATTTAATTTAATTTATTCTTTTTCTTACTAAAAAAAGAAGCAATTGAAAATCTAATTTTAAATTTTTAAATTTTTTCTATCTTTCTTTCTTCAAGGTGAAATTTTATGTGTGTCAAGACTGTGGATATGTGTATATGTAACTTTGTGAATTAAGTAGTGAGTGTTGTAGGCATTTAGGTGAGAGTATGCACACATATATAAGAAGCAGCATTGTATGACCAAAAGAGTGGATAGAACAAATCAAAGTAGTAATATAGTGAATAAAAGCCAAAATTGCAATTCAATACATTAAAGCAATTCAAATAACTAATATACAAAGGATCCAACTAGAAAAATGTTGAAAGATTCATGAAGAATGTAAAATATATAAGAGTCTTTAAATAAAATAATACCATCTTAGAAAAATGTCTAAAATAGCCTAAGAAGCAAGAATCATTTTATTTATATTTTTTTACTTAAGCTATTACAAACTACATGATTTTTAATAGAAAATATTATATAGGGATAAGAAAAGAGATTTTCTATTAGATTTGCAAAAATAGCCAATATGTATGTATATGTATTAATATGTTCAAAAGTACCAAATCTATACAAAAATTATTAATAATATAGAAAAAAAATATTTACAAAAAAATTAAGATACAAAGATAAATTGATATAAGCATAATTGGCTTAATGATAGAATGGATGGTCCATTTGAAAAAAAAAAAGAGGGCTCGAAGATAATAATGTCACATCAAAATAAACATTAAAAAAAATATTGCTTATAGCAAAAATAAGGATTGTTCTTGATTTTTAGCACTACTACTTAGAGTCACATTATTGCAACATAATACCAAAAATAAAAGAAAAGATAATAGAGGAAGAAGAAGCAGCACAATACTAAAAATAAAAGAAAAGATAATAGAAGTAGATGAAGAACAAAGCATAGAGCTTTAACAATGGTAGCATCTTGTTTTTTTCATAGGTTTAGTCATGTTTTTGCAGAAAGTTTAGCATTACATTACTCACCTTTGCTATTAATATTTGTAGTCAATAATAAATAAATAATTTTTAGAACTAGTACTTGGCTTATACAATAATAACTTTATCTTTTGGAGCCATGACCATAACATTGTTTGGAATGCAAGATCTAGATGGCATTAGAATTGAATGCTACACCCTTAATAAGGAAGCATTGCCTAAATGCCAACTCATCCTCAAAGATCTAAAAAAGATGCAATTTCTATGCTTTAATAGATATAGCTTATAAGTTGGCTCCACCAACTAGATGCATATGCATTTTAATGTCCTAAGGCCTACAACTATGGACAATGCAACTTAGTAAAAATATAAATTTAATATTTTTTAAGTCATATTTCTAGTTAAAAAACTTACTATCATAGATGCAATCCAAAAAAAAGCTATGCAACTCACTATCATTAGCCAAATCTCAAGCAAAAATCCAAAGTAACTTGCTTTGAAAGAGTGGGGTCATACTACTTTATATTGCTCAATGTAGACTTCGTCTTTGATAGGCAATATATTCTTTGAGGTCACATTTTTGTTATTAGAAGATGGAAACTACATCCTCTAGTCCCTCATAAAATATAAGAATAAGGAGACAAATTTTATTCTATAGAATATTTTCTTTTCTACAAAAAATAAAAAATCATACAAATATTTAGCATATTTGATTTGGATTCAATTCATAGAATTGAGCCAATACCTCTACCATAAGAATTGTCTACAAAATCATTCCTTCTTGATTAAATAAGGCTTTTTAAATTAAAGAAATATTTTTATATACAATAAAAATAACATGATCTATAGTCAAACTCCAAGTTTGGGATGTTATCAAGATACCAAAAAAACAATTAGCTTCTTTAGTCCAAAGCTAGACACACCACTTTTCTATAAGATAGTAGTCTTAAGATATTCAAACCAATGCTCTAGATGTTGAGGCTTTGGACATACTTTTGATAAATTTAAGTAATGAATTATAAGCTAGAATATATGAAAAAATTAAGAGGGCCTTTTCTTTCAAGGTCCAATATTGAGACTTCAAATACAATCCATACTTATTATCAATAATATTAAGGACTATTCTCACATACATTAATATCTTTAAAGAATCAAAGATTTGAATAAAAATACTTCTAATCAATAACAAGCCAAGGATTTATACAATTATATAAGAATGCTCCTTCTACAACCATCTTTATTATCAGGAGATCACTATTGCACCATAGATCCAATGAATAGAAAGACCTTCTTATATTGGCATCTTTTCAATTAAAGTTAATGATTACCTATAATTCAAACTTTCTACAATCAAGCTTACTATTACCTTCAATACAAGTAATATTCTTCAAAACAATGTGATGTATGATGGTAGTCCATACCTTAATAAAAGTCCATATTACAAGCTCTATTTTGCCAAAACCTAACAATACTCTAAGTGACACTACTTAAAATATTTTTTTCTTAGAAACAAGGAACATCTCTCTCTTTTTCTTTTTCTTCCCTTCCTCCTTTTTTTCTTTCTCTTTCTTTTTTCTCTTCTTAGACACATTAAGTTACTTAAAACTTTTTAAGTTTTTATAAACATAGAGAATACTTCTTAATCCACTCATAAGGATGAGTTTTAGTTTGTCTAAAAATAAATTTCTATCTGAAGACTTGTGAACAACTTAAGGATGTTCCATTAATCAACTCAAGCAACATCAACTTCAATAACCAAGGCTATTATACCACCTTTCTTCTAATAATTTTCATTTAGATTGTATTTATTTATTTTTATTTATTTTTCATTTTTTAACATTCAAATCTTATAATACAAAGTCTTTTCAATTTTCTATACCATATTAAATGACCTATTAAAATATTACTACTATAAGATGTTATCCAATTTGAGTATATTAGGCTAATATCTAATTATATTTTATTAAATATTAATACTTAAAGATCAAAAAAAGTAATTATTTCAATAACCAAAAACTATCATATTAAAATAAAATGGCTCTAGCACTCTTTAAAGTAGTAAAGAATACATAAAATATCAAAAATCCTCATGGGAAGTGGGAAGATTCAATTTAAGAATTTAGATGACAGACAATTGATTAAAAAATCAACTATTGTATTTCTATGGCATTCATCATGGTACCATTCTTCAACCTAAAGCTCCAAAAGTCATATTGATATCTATGAATATTCTTAGCCACAATACTTAGAGATATTCTATTAACAAGTTCCATAGATATACTACATCTACTCTCATTTCTAATAAGATTTGCAATAAAGGCTTTTTTGGCTAACAACCAATACAATAAAAATCCTTCTTTTTTTAAATCAAACAAAAAAAAGATTAGAATGGCTCCAAAGTAGAAGTTATACCAACTTGGTTGCAAAGACAACAATTTTATTAACAATCATAAAAATCATGAATCTTCAAACTTTCTTCTCTCCAAATGAATGTAGAAAATATGGTCATTACTTTTTTAAATATCTGATTACTTTGCTAGGGCATTTAAAAGATTTGTAAGGAAATATAATTATATATCTTATTCCAAAAAGTCCATCTATAATTAAAAATAATTCTATTATGGAAATATCATTATTATATCAATGATTATATCTAATACATCAATCAATTATAATGCAAGCACAAAAAAAAACTTTTAAACAATGTTACATACGTAATGGATAGAGGTTGCTTCAGAAGAGGTACTACCACATTACTATCATATAAATTGGCATTATATGTTCTCTCTTTTGGAATCATAATTAAAACACAAGTCCAATTCATGATTTTGGACATTAATTGTATTTTTAAGGAGATTCTGAACATATATGCTTCAAATTCTAAAAGCCAAGAAGCACAATTTTGAAACATTTTCTTTCAATAATTCTTTAATCTAATCTCTTTAATTATTTTAGGAGATTTTAATATGAAAAAAATATATAAC